CCCCGCTGTGTGGCCTCTGTGGATCCAGGAACATGGACTTGGTCTCAGGTTGCATAGGCTTATAGAGTGTGCAGGAATAGGGTACTCCTTGCCACTCCATCACCTCAAGGGGTTTCACCGGAGTCCTTGCTCTCAAGTGACTCTGCTCACTGGTGAGGACACGAGGCAACATGGGACCCAGTGTATCCTGGGGGCAGCTGCCTGGCCCCGTGAATTCAAACCCACTGATCAGTTCAGGGTCCCAATTTGAGCACAGGAGTGAGCTATGATACAGCTGGGCCAGTGAGCTGAGGCCAGGAGACCACTTAACCTCCCTGTAGGAGAAGGAAGGCCCAGGACACCTATGGTGCTTTATGCAGCGGGTGGGGGGCAGCAACCAGGCTGTCTGCGCAGGCACTCAGGCAGGCCCTGAGGGGCCCGGAGACTGGGCAGGCAGGCAGATGCTCCTTTCCCCTGTGATTGGGGGCAGGGACCATCCTGGACCCTCACAGCATCTCCCCTCCACTGGCCCACCTGGCCTCCTGCTGTCTCCCTGTAGCTGGCCCACCCGTACCGGGCAATGATCTTAAAGGCCATGGAGGCGATTGTACGCAGTCACATCGGTGAACTTGACAAGGACATGGTCAGGGCTGTCATTCTACTGGCCTCCAATGAGATGACGAAGGCCAAGGTGAGCCTGAGCTCCGTTTGGGCCCCCCAGCTATCTGCCTGGGCAGTGGCACTGAGTGCTGCTTTTGTCTGGGGTCACCTGCCCTCCTGTGAGGGTTTGTCCATAATTTTCCGGGGGAAACAACCCAAGAACAAAATGTCCAAACCCTCATGCAAACATGGGCTGTCAGCGTCTGCCGGCTGAGGCTGTGGAGGATGGCCCAGCATCGGGGCTGTGGGACTCAGGGGCTGCTGCCCCTCTCAGTAGTGGTGGGCCCTCGGTGGAGAACCCTTGAGTCGGCAGCCCCTCGGTAGCATGTGGTTGGCTCAGCCGCCCCTATTAGAGCAGGTGTCCACTCAGACTCTGCTCTGTGGACACAGGACCTGGTCCTCGACTGGCAGCAGGCAGCCAGCAGTGTCCTCGTGGCAGTGGGCACACGCTTCATCAACGCCGTGATGGAGGAGCTGCTGGGCCGCTTCCAGCCTGGGCTGCTGCCCCACCACTTTGTTGTGCACACGCTTGCCAGCCTGGCAGCAGCCAACGGTAGGCACCCTCCTGCCCTGATCTGCTGTGAACCCTACCCTGAGTGGCGGTCAAGAGAGGAGGGTGGAGAGGGGTCGTCCAGGGGCTAACAGCCTCTCCTGCAGTGTTTGGCATGGTGCCCTTCCTGACCTCCATCCTGAGCACCATGCTGCCTATGCTGCCCATGGCCAAGCAGGATGCTATGCGGGTGGTGTTCTGTTCAGGTAAGATGCTGCCCACCCCACCCTGGGAAGCATCAGGTTCTGGGGTGTTGGGGAAGAGAGGCATGTTGGGAGAATGGGCTGATGGTCTCAGGCCAGCTCCCCTTTTACCTAGCATGCCCCCACCCCCACCCACCCCTGCTGGGTTGTTGCAGCCCTGCAGCACTTCAGTGAGAGTACCCTGGAGTACCTGGCCAACCTGGACCAGGCCCCGGACCCCACTGTCAGGAAGGACACTTTTTCCTCCGACGTCTTCAGCGCCTACGATGTGCTCTTCAACCACTGGCTGCAGAGTCGGGAGGCCAAGGTCTGCCACCCTCCCTGCCCAACCCGGCCTCCACTCAGGCCCTGTCTGTAGCTTGAGCCCCTCCCCTTGGGATACTGAGCGTCTCCCTGAGGGCAGGGTTTGTGGGCCAGCAACAGGGCCCCCAATGTGGGACTCCCCCCAAAAGTGCGTCACCCACACACCAGTGGCTGGTTCTGCAGCCTTGCCCTTCTCCCGAGAATGGCTCCTGTTGCTCAGTGGTCCCCGACACACCCCTTCCTCCACCCTAAGCACTGTGGGGGCTGGATAGTAGATACTCACACCATCTCTTGTTGCACTGGTTCCTCTCTGGTCACCCTGTGGTCAGTATGTGTTCACCCTGAGCATGCCCGTGTCTGGGGTGGCTCTGATGTGTGGCTCACGTCTGCCCACAGCTCCGGCTAGCGGTGGTGGAGGCCCTGGGCCCCATGAGCCATTTGCTGCCCAGTGAGCGGCTGGAGGAGCAGCTCCCCAGGCTCGTCCCTGCAGTGCTTGCCCTCTACAAGAAGCACGCCGAGGCCTTCGCCATTTCCAAGGTGCGCTTAGTGGGAGTGGGTGGAGTGCTCAGCCCTGCCGGGGCTGTGTTGCAGTGTTGAGGTCGGAGCTCAGCCTGAGGGGCGGGGGGTTGAAGCTGATGAGGGGCTCGGCCCTGCTTCAGCTTCAGCTGACGGCCCCTCTTCCTGCTGGCAGAGTCTGGGCCAGATCTTGCAGGCGGCCGTGAGCGTGGGCAGCCGTACACTGGAGGTCCAGCTCGACACACTCCTGGCTGCCCTGCACGCCCAGGTGGGCCGAGGGGCTGGGCACACATTCCCCATGAACCTGTCCCTGGCCACTGTCTCCTGTCCTCCAAGTTGGTGCGGCAGCATCCTGCCCGTCGCTGGCTGCCTGGGTCTCTGCACCCAGATGGGCATTTGCTGGCACACGTGGCTGTGCTGCTGACCACCTCCTCATCTGACCCTCTTGCTCAGCCCTCTACTGCCTCTCCCTGGCAGTCCTGCTCCCTCAGCCCTCTGGCCACTAGCCCGTCCAGCTTCTGGGCACGCTTGCCCTGGGAGGAGGCAATTTTCTGGATCCAGCCCAGGGTTCCTTGCTGTGGGGGAGACAGTGAGGTTTTCAGTGGGGCTGGAGGGGCTGGCATCACTGTGCCCTGTTGAGAGAAGTGGGTCCTGTGCTTGGGTGTTGGGCAGGGGGCCTGGCCTGGAGGAACTCTCCCTGGTGTCTGACAGGTGGCAGTGGGAGGCTGCTGCAGTGTCTAGGTGAGGAGACAGGCCTCAGACGGGGCAGGTTGAGGTGTGTGGGTGGCCATATTTTGGGGGGACAGCATGACTGCCCCTGGGGGGGGGCCTTATAAACAGGTACTGCTCATATCAGTAGGCAGCCAGGCATGCTGGGTCCAGGGGCAGCTGCAAGTCCCTTTTGTGTGTGTGTGTGTGTGGGGGGGGGTCCCTCAGTACACATGGGGTGTGGTCTGGGCGCACGGGTGAGTGGGAACTGTTGACCTGGCCAGTAGTCGGCTCTACATGCACTACTGGAGACTAAAGCCAGGAGGCCAGGCCAGCCACTGGACACCAGTGTGCCAGCAGGCCGTGGCGTGGAGGCCGCACCCGTAGGTAGCTCCTGGGGAGGAGCGCAGAAGGCCCCCTGCCCTCCCCCCAGCCCCCCAGTCCTCCAGTCCTTGCTGCCTGGATCTGTGGCCCGAGCACTGACAAGTGCCCCTCAGCTCTGGGTTGCTGCTAACAGGGCTCTAAGTATCAGGCACAAGAATGGTAAAAAGCTCTAATTGGTGGATCTGTCAGTGAAGAAATGTACGTCCCCTTCAAGGGCTGCGGCAGAGGCCGAGAGGCTCCGGCTAGCTTGCCCACCCAGGGGAACAGGAGCCAGTCTCCTGTATGACCGGTCTATTTGGGGGGTTCGTCCTCACAGGCAGGGCAGGGGCAGGACTTCTTGGAGCCTCCAGGGCTAACAGGGCTTGTGTATGTCCATCTATCCATCCCTTCCCCATGGCCAGGTGACTGAGGGGAAGGTCACCCGTGACTCTGCCCCCTCTCTGCCCTGGAGCAGGTCTGCGTGCCTGTGGAGTCCTCCAGCCCCCTAGTGGTCAGCAACCAGAAGGAGGTGCTGCGCTGCTTCACTGTGCTGGGTGAGGGGCTGGGGGCCGGGCCCTGGGGGTGGAAAGTCTTCATGCTGAGGGGGGGCAGGGGTGAGGGTGATGTGGGGGAGAGTCTTCACTGTGCTGAGGGGGGAGGGGGACAGCGGCGGGGCTGTTCAGGATGGCCTCGAGCCAGGACAGAAGGATGGATGTGGGGACCCCGTGGCCACCCCCATCATGTGAAAACCTTTAGTGGGTCTCCAAGTGTGTATAATCTACACACTGAACTCCTGCTGGCCTCTTAAGAGCACCTTTCTCTGGCAGAGCAATACTGAGGAGCGGGCATGGCTGGCATTCTGGGCCTTCTATCCTCCACAGCTGGGGTGATTCTGGGTGGTGTGGAGGTCCCACTTTGCTGGTGGTCCCATGGGGACTCATGCCTGCAGCCTCACTCTTGGGAAGGGACACAGTGACAGTGCCTTGTTAGGCCAAGGCACAGCAAGCCAAGAGGCCTGAGCCAGGACCCCAGCCCATTCTTGGAGAATTTTTCTCCCAAGCGGGGCTGGGGCAGCATGGGCTGACGGCCCGGCTTTGCAGCTTGCTTCTCACCTGACCGTGTGCTGGCCTTCCTACTGCCCAAGCTGGACATCACCAGTGAGCGGACCCGTGTGGGCTCCCTGCAGGTCTTGAGACACGTCATCAACTCTGCTGGTACGTCCTGGTCCTCCAGGGAATGAGCAGGGCCCTCCCGGGATCCTCCGACAGGGGCTCTGCTTCCTGGTTTGTGTGATCCCCCTCTGTCTGGAAATTACTGGAAAGCAGTGCAGGGGGAGCCCACTGCTCCTGCTGTATTCCCACCCCCAAGAGCCAGGCAGGGCGCACCTGGCCAGAAGCCTCCTCAAACTGGGTCCAGAAAATACTCTCCTGCCATCCTGTCCCCTGGCTTCTGTGACCCTGCCATGTCTGACACGTCCCTGCTGGCTGGTCTGTAGACTGTCCCTGTTGGGAGTACTGGCGGTCCCTAAGGGCCGGTGAGCTATGGCCTCTCTGGTGAGCCCAGTTGGGGAAAAGCATCATCGACCAGAAACAGTTGCCCTGGCCCTTTCCAGAGGGGTGTAGCCACCCTGTGCAGGTCTACATTGGGTGTCAGACCGAGAGCTGAGGAAAAGTAGCCCCGGGGGGCCTTGTGAGGGGACCGTGTGGTCCCCAGGTGGCCAGGGCTGAGGACAGGGAGGCCCCGTGATGACTGGCACGTGGGGGTTGCGCGCGTCGGCCTCTTCTGTGTTGCGGGGCTCTGAGCCTTCAGGTCTCTTGCAGCCACTCAGATGGAAGTGCGGAAACTGTTCATCATCTCCTCTATGCGGCTGCCCCTCCTGGACCCCAACAACAAGGTAATGAGGCCCTGGGAGGGTAGGGGCAGGCCAGAGACCAGGCAGTGGCTTGGGCAGCAAGAGGAAGGCTCCAGAAGGAGGGCTGCTTGCTGGGGAAGGCAGGGGAGGGTGCTGTTTCATCCGCTTCATCACCCTAGCCCTGGAGGACACAGCACAGGGGAAGCCGAAGGGCCCAGCCCTCCGGGTGGGGGCCAGGAACATGCTGAGGGTCCAGTAGATGGGACTGGGGTCTTGAGGTTTCACAGGGTGACTTTGTGGGAGCCAGGTGGTTTCATCGGAAGTAGGCGACGGAGGGAGGAGGAAGCCTGAGTGGGGATGCAGAGGTGCAGTTGGAGAAGCTCTCCTCTATAAAGACCCAAGCTGGAGAGAGGCTCCATGTAGCCTCGGTTCAGCAAATGGGAGGAGGGATGCTGGGACAGCTGTGGGTGAAGGTGGACAGCTGTGGGTTAAGGTGGGGTGTGGATGCTGGGACAGCTGTGGGTTAAGGTGGGGTGTGGATGCTGGGACAGCTGTGGGTGAAGGTGGGGTGTGGATGCTGGGACAGCAGTGGGTGAAGGTGGGGTGTGGATGCTGGGACAGCTGTGGGTGAAGGTGGGGTGGATGCTGGGACAGATGGGGAAGGGTAAGCACTACCTCCCAGGAGGACTTGGAGGAACTGTGTCTCGGGTCTCTGGCTCCCCTATTGTGGCAGGTGAAGAGGGCAGTGGTGCAGGTGATCAGCGCCATGGCCCACCACGGCTACCTGGAGCAGCCTGGAGGCCATGCGATGATGGAGTACATTGTGCAGCAGTGTGCCCTGCCCCCCGAGCCACAGGTGAGGACCCCCCCAGGCAGGTGGGTGGTCTCGGTGACCTGGTGCCTGTCCCAGGTGTGGCATGGCATACTGTTGCTGCAGTTATCTGCCAGCACTTGCCCAACTGGGGGTCGCCCTGGGCACAGGGGAAGGGGAAGCTGTCCCATCCTGCCGCCTGCAGGGGGTCCCAAATCACACTGGTGACCTTGAGGACTTCATTGGAAGTGAGTCACCAGGCCTTTCTTCCCAGCAGGTCTTAGCCTGGGGCCACCCATGCCACCACTCCCTGGGTGTTCTTGATTGCATGAAAGGAAAGCCTCTGCCCAAGTGTGAACCTTGATCTTGACCAGCAGGTGGGGGCTTTTCCGCAGGTCAGAGCCTTCCTCTTTCACACCCAGAGTGGTGTCAGCTGTGGCTTTTCCCCAGAGGTCACCGCTCACATGCTCATCCTCTGTGTTCCCACAGTCGTCCACACCCATTTCTGTGTCCAAGCATTCACATGCTCACAACTCATACATCCCATGGGTTCTTGTTTTCATACATTCATACGCTTAGATCCTGTTACGCTTAGATCTTGTTCAAGTCCATGTTTGTTCTCATGCTCATATTTTCATATGCCCACCGGGCACATACTCCTGTGTTCACACAAGTTTACATGCACGTGTTCTTATGTTCATGTGTTCACATGCTTATATGTTGTGCTCGCCTGTTCGCTTATATGTTCCTGCGTTCACATGTTCCTGTATCCATAACTCTCACTCATGTGTCCCCACATGCCTGTGCTCATGCGTTCATGCATGTCTTCTCCTGCATTCATGGGCCTGCCTCAGGCCCTTGCCTGGTGTTAGTCTGATTTACCTTCACGCTGACTCCCATGGCCTGTTTCATGGAAAAACGCTTGTTGGATTCTTGGAGAATGCTCTAAGTTAGTGGTTCTCAACCTTCCTGATGCCTCGACCCTTTCATATAGTTCCTCATGTTGTGGTGATCCCCCAACCATAAAATTAGTTTTGTTGCTACTTCATCACTGTAATTTTGCTACCATTATAAATCGGTTCGACCCCCAAAGGGGTCACGACCCACAGGATGTGGGGGTCGAACGACCCACAGTTTGAGAACCACTGTTCTAAGTTGTCACTCAAGGCCTCTGTGTTGCTATCACCTCTGCTTGACCAGCTCCAGCCGTCACTCTCCCTTCTGGGTCAGAGTTTGGGGTTCTGGTGTTTTCAACGCTCTTAAGAAACGAAAGTCTTCCTGTTGGTATGTGTCTGCTTGGCTGCCGTCGCAGGAGTAAGCAGAGGTCACCATCCGACGGTTGGGAAGCTGGGAGGTAGAGTTCAGGGCTCCGGCTCTGGCTTCTGGTGGCCCTGGTCTTTAGATGTGTTCACAGGTGCCTCCCTCTGAGGTGACCCTCACAAATTCTGCTGCACACACCTGCTTCCCATGCAAGGGAACAGTCACAGCACCTGCAGAGAAGCCTCCTGGAGCTGGGCTCTCGGCCTCCTCATTGGGCCAGGGACATCACAGGCACTCTGGAAGTGTCCACTTGCCTCTGGAGGGCTGCAGTGGCAGATGGGGGCTGTGAGGGTCTCCCAGGTTGTTGCTGCCTCCCTCGCTGGCAGATGAAGCCCTTGGCCTCCGTCCCTCCAAAACACTGAGTGCTGGCTGCCTTCCTTTCTGAAGCTGGGTTCTGAACTGGGCTTCCTGGGGTGACTGCAGTCTGTCTGCTGCCCATTGTTCCCCTGTCGCCACCCACACACAACCCTTGTCCACAGTCTGAGAGGCAGAGCTCTGGTAGCGAGGACCTCCCCGCAGACAGCGTGCGTGCTGTCAGCATCAGCACCCTCTACCTCATCAGCACCACGGTGGACCGGATGAGCAGTGTGAGTGCATGGTTCTGCTGGCCAGCCCAGGGCATCTCCCATGTGGGGGTCCCACCTACCTGTGATTATACCTTTTCCTCCAGAGCATGAGGATGAGGTAGGTGGGTGGTGGTCGGCCTTCTCAGTCCCTCAGGAAGTGCAGAGGGTCAGCCTGTGTCTCCCTAAGCCTGGCAAGCCCTGGGCAGGGAGGGGGGGGCGTGCGGGTGGGGTGGGGTGGGATGGGTGCAGGTTGCTCACTGCTGCCTTCTCTGTCCAAGCTGGGACAGGGATACTGGGAATATATTGCCTGTGGAGGGAACAAGCTTTGGTGTATCTCCTGTGGGTGCTGCTGTTCCTCCAGAGGGCAGCTGTGTGCTGCCTGTCTAGGCCCCCTGCCCACACACACCAGACACTTTGTCTCCAGGTGCTCTGGCCGTACTTGCTCGAGTTTCTGACACCCGTACAGTTCACTGGGGCGCTAACCCCACTCTGCCGGAGCCTGGCATATCTGGCCCAGAAGCAGCAGCAAAGGGCTGGTCCTGATGCCTTTCTCAACCAGCATGAGTCCAGTGGTGAGCATGTCATAGGGGGGGTGGGGTGAGGGGGTGTGCCAGGGGCCCAGTGGGTGGGTGGGGGCAGGAGCTAGGGAGGGCCAGGGACCAGGGAGGGCTGGGCTTGGATTTCCCACCTAATGACACCCTCACACTCTTGTTTCAGGGAACTTCCCGTCACCCTATGCCATAGCCACCCGACTGCTGGTAAGTGCCACTCCTTGTTCTGGAAGCCAAGCCTGAAGGCAGGCCGGGGTGTCTGGGCCTCCTCAGCCAGCGTGCTCCTTACTTCCCTCGCAGGTTGTGTCCTCTGACCCCTACGTGGGGGATGGCCGTGGGGTGGCCTCCCTACGGCTGCTGCATGTCCTCCATCACCATATCCACCCACTGCTGGGCCCCAGGTGGGAGGCCACTGTCCCCCTGCTGTTGCAGCACTTGGCTGGTAAGGCCTGCTGCATCATGAGGGACAGCCTGGGGTTGTGCGGGGCAGGGGAGGGGCAGGGCTGCCCTGTGGCTGCAGCAGGGCCGGGTGTCCTGTCATTTTAGAACACACGGAGGCCACCCTGTCTCAGAAGGAATGGGAGGAGAAGCTCCTGATGGTGAGAGGCGGACCAGACCAGGGCTGTCCCCTCACGGAACCCAAGGTGTTGGGCCCGCCCCCACCTCACCTCTCCTCTCTTCTCCCTGCCCTCCCAGTTTCTGCGTGACACGCTGGGTGTCGTGGCTGACAACACTTGGGTCTGTCAGCTGAGCCTGGAGATGTGCAAGCAGCTGCCTTGCTACCACGGGGTGCCCCAGGAGAAGGTGTGCCTGTGAGCCAGCCCTACGCCCACCAGGGCTGTCCTCTTGGCCTGGCCGCTTCGGCCTCCTCAGGCCATTCCAGGGCTGTGGCTGAGGCTGCTCCCAGGTGAGTACTGCACTCTGTCCTGCTGCAGAGCTTCCTGTATAAGTGCATCGGGACCACCCTCGGTGCGGCATCCAGCAAGGAGGTGGTGAGGAAACGCCTGCAGGAGCTGTTGGAGACAGCCAGACACCACGAGGAGAGCGATCGAGAGGTGCTCCAAGGCTCTGCGGGCTCACAAGCCCACACACGTGCAGTGCATGCCCTCTGGTGTGTGCATGTGTGTACACAGGCACTTGTGATGCACTGCTCTCCGGCCAGCCCCAGACCCTCCCCCGAAGGTTGGGCCTCTCCCTCCAGGCGGGCCAGCCCTGCTGCCTGGAGACCAGCCCCAGGGTAGGGGTGGAGGCTGCTCTGCCCTCAGGCCTCTACACAGAAGTGGGGCGGGGGCTACTCTCTGTGCCTCCCCCAACTCTCCCTAGGACCACTGTGGCCAGCCTCAAGCTGGCTGCTCCCCTGCCCTGTGCAAGCCATGTGTGACCCACAGGGTCTGGCCTGCTGCTTCGGCCTCTGTGCCATCTCGCACCTGGACGACAGCCTGGCCCAGCTGGAGGACTTTGTGCGATCTGAGGTGTTCCGGAAGTCCATTGGCATCTTAAGCCTTTTCAAGGTTTGCAAGGTGCCCACCCCTTCTGGGACCTGTGTCCTTATTGCAGGAGGGCAGGTCTGCACTTGGGAACGAGGTAGTGAAGGGGCACCCGGACCGCCAGGGTGTGTGGGCATACCACTGCCCCAGTGATCAGCACGGGTGTGCCGTCACCAGTAGTTTAAGGAAGGCTGGCACCAAGTGTCCCCTCAGGTGTGTCTCACTTACCTGTCTGCCTCGTCCCCAAGCCCTGCCCTCTGGCCTTAATGTCAAGGGGCCTCTGGGGCCCTTGGTGCCTCAGCCATTGCTGACTACCTCCAGGCCTCCTTCCTGGAATGCACTCACTGGCTGGAGCTCTGGCCCTGGCGTGGGTGGGAGTCCTGGTTGAGTCGGCGGTGTTCTGACTCCAGGACCGGAATGAGAGTGAGGTGGAGAAGGTGAAGAGCACGCTGATCCTGTGCTATGGGCACGTGGCTGCGCAGGCCCCCCGAGAGCTGCTGCTGGCCCGAGTGGAGGCAGACGTCCTGCGGAACATGTTCCAGTACTTCAACACCAAGGTGGGCTGGGCCCTGCCTGGTGAGGAGCGCTCCCACGGGGCTTTCCTGTGACTCAAGTTGCTTTCTGTCGTTCAGGTTCTGGGGATAAAGGTAGAAACCAAGGTATGGTGCCAGGGCAGCCACCTCTGCTTTCCGCTCCCCTCCTTTGCTTGGTTGGGGCTGTGGGCAGAAGCCAGAGGGCATGTATTGGGACCTCTGGGCCTAGCCCAGAGGAACGTGCCAGAACACCACTTCAGGGGCCCCACTTTCCCTTCCTGGGGGTGTGTGGGAACCCCCCCAGGGACCCACTATGTCATGGCTACACATCTCTTCTGGCTCTGCCCCAGCCACACTAACACCCTCCTGTCAGGCTCCTGGGAACTAACCTGGTGAGCTCAGCCGCCTCTGGCTGGGTCCGCACGCTTGAGCCTCCTGCTCTCAGTCTGGGCCACTTGGGAGTGAGACACACAGCATGTTGGCCCACTCTGAGTTGGGGGAGCTCCCCTGCCCAGAACCCCTCTCCTGGGCACACAGTACCACCTATTAGCAACATGGCAGGAACCCTCCGGGAGTGGGGACCCCTCGGCTGAAACCCCGATCCCAGGTTGTGGGAGGAAGAACTGAGCTTAGGGTGTGCTACAGTTTCCTGTCCAAGTGTGACTCTGGGCAGGCTGAAGGGCCACTGCTAGCTGTGGGTGACAGGCCCTTCTTGAGCCTCTTCTGATAGTGGGGAGCTCTGTGCAGGGGGTGGGGCGAGGCAGGCCCTGTAGCATACTGTTCCCCCAGGACCCTGCCCTGAAGCTGTGCCTTGTTCAGAGTGTCTGCATGGTCAGCCAGGCCATCTGTGGCAGCCCGCAGGCCAGCGCTTTCCATTTCTCTCAGAAGGCAGAACTGGTGGCCCACATGATGGTGAGAGCCCAGCCATGTGCGTTTGGAGGGGCAGGCAGGAGGCCAGCTCACTGTGGGAGGACCTCTGAGGAGGGAGCTGGGCCCCCAGGAGCTGGGCCCGCAGGAATTGAGCTTGGTGCTGCCCTCACAGGACTTCATCCGGGCAGAGCCCCAGGACGTGCTGAGGACGCCCCTGCGGAAGAAGGCCATGATGGCCTGCACGCTCCTTGTGTATCCTTTCTAGGGGGCGCCTGCTGCAGGGAAGCGCATTTGTGCACCACCGGCTCAGGGTTACATCAGTGTTTATGTAGATGCGTCTTGTGAATATGCTAGCATGTGGGTGTGTCAGTGTGTGCATGTAGGGGTTTGTATGCATGTCTGCATACAGATATATCAATGTGTGTGTGTGCGCGCGCGCCCCCTCCCCCCGCATGTGCCCACTGGCCTACACATAGATGTGTCTGCATAGGTGTGTCCGCGTGTGTGTGCAGATGTGCACACTAGGAGTGTGATGCCATCCTGGGCCTGATGTGCGTGTGAGGCCAATTGGTGCTGTGACCCACTTGGGGTCTGGCCCTGTACTGGCTGGCATCTACCACTGCCCTGGTGGCCCCTTGACTGGCCGCTCAGCTCCTTGGAGCCACCGCTGGAGGAGCAGGTGCGGGCAGACATGACCCATGGCTGCCTGCACAGTGTCATGTCCCTGCTGCCAGAGTCCAATGGGGATGGTACCAGCGACTGGGAGGTGTGTGCCCATCCCCTGTGCCCCATGCGGTGGGTGGGGGCACACAAGGGAGCTAGTGGCCTCACTCGTATCTCCCAGGCCCTGTACTTGGACACGATCCATGCCCTGGAGGACCTGCTGACAAGTGTCCTACAACGGAACATGACCCCCGAGGGCCTGCAGGTCATGGTGGAGGTATGCCGAGCCTGGGCCTGCGCCCTGCTCTCAGGCACCCCTTGCAGCCTGTGGTACAGTACCTCCCCTACCCTTCTTTTTTCTCAGCACCTGAGCCCGTGGATCAAGTCACCTCGGGGTCATGAGCGGGAGCGAGCCATGGGCGTCAGTGCCAGTCTGCTGCGGTACTTCCTGGAGCACCTGCATGTCAGCGTGAGTGTCCAGGCCTTGCCTTCCAGCCTCCCTCCCCTCCAGGCCCATCGCACCTGCCCTGGGCTAGAACCCTCTTCCCAGAGGGTAAGTTCTTGGGATTCGTGCAGACCTGAACTTGGCACATGTCCTGTCCTAGTCCCCCCTCCAGGGTCAAGATGATGTGAGGTTGGGCCTGACAGCAGCATGGGTGGGGGCTCAGCTGAGGGCTCTGCAGTCCAGTGCGGAGGACTGGCTCTGGGAGCCTCCCCTGATACAGTGGTGCTGAATTTGCTTACAACCTATGCCCATCCTTCCAGTTACTTTGGTCATCTCTAGCCGACATGCAAAGTCATGTTGAAGCTGTGGCAACAGAGTGCTTTCTGGGGCCACCTGTTTTTTTGGCCCCTTATACTTTGGATCTGCTTTGGGCGCTGTCTGAGGGTGCTGACTGCTCTCATGCTCAATCTGCTGCTGGACTCACCTTGGGCCTCTGGTCTGGTGGTCTTCGGAGAAGTTTTGACAGTCCTGGGCAATTGGGTGGGGCTGTCAGGTAAGTTTTTGTTTGTTAACTGCAAGGTTGGCTGTTGAAACCCATTAGCTGACAACCTCTCACAATCTGAGTCAGAATTGTCTTAGGACAGTTGTCACTGGGCTTGGTGTGTGTTTGACAGGCAGGCTAGTTTGTAAACAGTGGTACCCTTGAGTACCTCACTGCTATCCAATGGATTCCAGTTCCCAGCCGCCCTCTGCAGGGTTTCTGAGCCTGCCAATCTCTACAGGAGCAGACAGTCTCATCTTTCTCCTGAAGAGAGGCTGGTGGGTTTGAACCTCCAACCTTTTGCTGAGCAGTCACACGTCTAGCCCACAGCATCAACAACACCAGGGACCTTTCTTCCCAGAGCACAGCCCCTTCGCCACCTGTCTGCAGCCGTGCCCTCTCCCACAAGCCCTGGTTCAGGCGCGTCTGGTGGGCAGCTGTGTGCTGTGGTGTGGCTGCCTCCGCTGTCCAATGCCTGGTACTGCTTCAGCAGGACAGTGGCTACTCGGGATTCCGAACTTGGTTTTTCTCTGTGATGTTCACAGGCTGGTCACTCTGTGGCTTCCTGTGCTGCGCCCCCTCGCGGGGGCCCTCCCTCTGCCTGGAGCTTCCTCAGCACATGGCTGGGTTTTGCTTTGGTGGCAATGGGTCACCTCTGCTTATATAGTAGGACTGTGGTCAAGAGGCAGGAGGCTGGACAGGGCCTTGTTCTCCGTCAGGATGGTCACAGATTTTCCCTAGTGTCAGTTTTGTTTTGTTTTTCAAATGTAGCAGACCTTTGGCGCCTATGTGGGCAGGGCCTCTGTCGTCCCACTGTCTCCGGAGTTCTGTCTTGTACTGGTGACAGCAGTGCTCCAGCGAAAGTCCTCTGTGGCCCCGGCCCTGGCCCTCTTTCTCGTCCATGGCTCTTTGGGGACTGAGTGAATGTATGGTGCTGCGTCCTGGCAGGGACTTGCAGGGGGCAGGGTGGGTGTTCTTGGGAGCTCTGGGGGACTCAGGGTGAGACCAGAGGGCTCAGAGATGTGGGGCTTCTGGGCATGTGTCTTAGGGCCTAGAAAGGGGAAGGGCTGCTCCCAGGAGGGTGGGCAAAGGGGCAGGGCCCAAGGCCGGCTGTGGGAAGGTTGAAAGGCAGGCAGGACCCAGTGGGCTCACATTCTCTGTAGTCCCTCCTCTTGCTCTCTCACGGGAATCTGCCTTCTGGGGAGGGACGGCCCAGCATGGCAGCAGAGGTGGATCCAAGCATCCCCTTGCCTGGCTATCTTCCCTTGCTGCCAGCCAAGTCCACTATGTGAACCACAGCCTGGCCGTGATCTCCAGGCAGGTTCCCTCCTGATGGACTCAGGTAGACTAGTGTGCTTACAACTTATCTTTCTGTGTGGGGTGCTGCGAGGCTCCCTAGGCGCCTCGCAGGTAGACGGGACTGGTTATCTGTGGAGAGTGGGAGCTCCCTAGGGACCTTGCAGGCAAGACTGTGTTTCCAGCACAATCTTCCTCACCTAGGTTTCGGGACACGGCCAGGGCTGTCTCCTGTGGGTGCTCATGCTGTCCTGCCCTCCCTCTGGTCTTTGCCTATTGCAGGCACTGGTGCCCTTCCACAACCTGGGCCTCCTTGTCGGCCTCTTTGCCCCACGCTGTGCAGACATGTGGCCAGTGACCCGCCAGGAGGCTGTGAACTGCGTCTATCTGCTGCTCTACCTCCAGCTGGGCTATGAAGGTGAGCCCTTGCCTGGGTGGAGTCCAGGGTGGGGGCCTCATCCCCTTGCCACACACAAACTCTCAAGACACACACGTACCACCACCCCTGCCCTGTCTCTGCAGGCTTCGCTCGAGACTATAGGGATGACGAGACCGAGCGGCTCCTGGCCCTCAAGGAGGGCCTGGTGAAGCCCGACCTCACCGTGCTCTTCCACAGCTGCCACAGCATTGCTCAGGTGCACACCTCCCGGGAGCAGGGCTATGCCGGCCAGTGCTGCTGCTGCCCCCTCCCCGCCCCCGTCTGTGACACTGCTGCCCTCCCAGATCGTAGGGAAGCGCCTCCCACCGGGTCAGCTCATCAGCCTCCTGCTCACCATGTTCGAGAGTCTGGGGGACCCTGACAAGAACTGCTCACGCGCCGCCACTGTCATGATCAACTCCCTCCTGAAGGAACGGGGCACAGTGCTACTGGAGAAGGCAGGCAGGGACCCCGGGGGCGGGGCCCGAGGGGTGGTGTTGCACCATCATGCCCACTCTTTCCGGGGCCTCTGCCCTGCCACCTGTACCCCTCAGCCCTGTGGTGCCTCTCACTTGGTCTGTGCCTCAGGCCCTGCGGCAGACTCCTCACAGGTGCTGACCCTCCTCGGAGCCCCGCTGCTGGGGCTGCCGGCCCAAGTTTGGTGTTGGAGGTTCTGAGGCTGGACTCAGAGAGGGCTGGGTGGGTGGGTGGCAGGGGCCCAGGAAAGGCACGAGGTCTCTGTTAGTGGGAGGGGACTTGTGCTGGCTCTTAGCAGGAAAGCAAAACATATTGCAGGGGCGACACCCAGGGTAACACCCCAGAGGGCAACATCGACAGGTGGTCTGTCCTGCTGTGCCGTCATGTGAGTGGGACATGCAGTGGGCTCCCGTCATCAGACTGAGAAGCAGCACCGAGTCAGCTTGTGGACCGCGGGACATGATGGCCTTGGGTAGAACATCTGCTAAGCACCTGGCAAGCCAGCAGCTAGAAGCAAGCGCACACACTGACTGGCCACAGAGAGAATCAGTGAGCAGGAGGTCGGACCACAGGAAGTGCAGAGTCTGAGCCAATGGAGCACAATACCATGTGAACGGGCCTCAGGCACCCAGCACCCAGAGCGAGGGGAAAAGGCGAGTGTGGCTGAAAAGGTATTAGAGGTTTCCCACATTTTGCAAAGATGTAAGCAGCCTTCAGTGTGGATTGCAGCTCAGTGTAGAGAAGGCAGAAATCCTCCCAACTGGACCAGCAGATACCATCATGATGAATTGAGAACATGGCTGTTGAGGTTCTAAAGGATGCCAACTCGCTTGGATCCACAGTGCTCGTGGCACCAGCAGTCAGGTCCTGGGGACGTCAGCTGCACAGAGCACAGGAGAGCGCTCACAAGCAGGACGTGACTTTGAGGAGTGAGATGCACCTGACCAGGGTCTTCACGGTCATGTGAAAACTGGACAACGAATAAGGAAGACCAAAGATTCCGCAGGTTTGAATCACAGTGCTGGCGACTCATGGTGAGAGGACCGCAAACAGGTTGCAAACAGGATAAACTCAAAATCCCACAACGCGGTGAGAGGACCGTGTGTGGGCCAGAGAACCGAGAGACCTGTCTTGAAAGAAGTATAGCCAGAGTGCTCCTGAGAAGCCGGGATGGAGAGGCCGCACCACAAGGATCTGGACAGGTCATCGAGACCAGTCCCTGGAAAAGGACATTATGCTCGGCAAAGTAAAGGGCCAGTGACAAAGAGGAAAACCCCAGAAGGGTGAGCGCAGTGGCTGTGTCTGTGGGCTCCAGCCTGGCCGGAGGGTGGCACAGGACTGGGCGGTCTCTGTGGTGCATAGGGTCGCCGCCGTTGGTTGTTCGCACCCACCACCACCATCGTTTCCACAGGCCGAGTGAGTTGCAAACAGGATAAACTCAAAATCCCACAACAAGATGCCTCATGGTTAATGGTCAAGAGTTGTGGAAATCTAAGCCAGGGGGAGCCGAGTGCTGAGAGCAGCAGCGCAGGCCGTGAGGGAAACATGCCAGTGGCAGCAGCACCCTTCGCAAGTGGGGAGGAAAGAGCTGTTTACCTGTGCCCTGACATCAGGCCCTCCTCAGAGCCTGCCTTTGTTCTTTTCCCAGGATGGTCGGTGTCCCTGTGGTGCACAGGAGCATGCAGAGTGGCACCCTTGAGGGTGTGGTGGGGGCCAGCTGGCCTTCCCTTTGTCCAGTCCTGCTCCTTGCCTCTGTATTGTTTTCTGAGATGTGGCTTCCTGGTGTAGTGGTTACATGTTGCCCTCCAAGGTCAGCAATTCAAAACCACCAACTGCTCTGCAGGAGAAAGATGGAGCTCCCTACTCATCACGAGTTGGGGTCTAAGAACCCCACAGGGGCGGGCAGTTCTCCTCTGTCCTGATGGCTCTCGATGGCAGGGAGTGTGAGTGTGGTTTGGGTTTTTGGACCCCTTACCACTGTGTTGTCCTCAGAGATGTAGCTTCAGCTGAGGATCTGCCCCTCCGGCCATGGCCTGCATCAGGTCGTGTAGGGCCAGTGCAGGTCCTGCCTGTAGGGAGCAGTGAGTGTGGATGCCTGATCATGGTCATGCTGAGCCCCCGGCTGCCCCGTAGGTACCGGAGATTGTGAATGTGCTGCGCACCAAGCTGCAGGAGGCCCCGGAGGAGCACGTGCTGAAGGCCGCCCAGCACAGCGTGTACCTGCTGGCCTCCCAGCACCAGGCTGCTGTTGTGGCTAGCCTGCTGGGCAGCCCCCTGCCCTTCGACAGGTACCCTCCCCCCTCTCTTCACTGGAGCCTCGGGTCAAGTTCAGGTGATGGCAGGCCCCAGGGGTCTGCACCCCCTATCCGAGGGCCCCTGCTTACCCTCTCCTGGAGCCATGAGGCTGTCCTGGCCTCTCCATCAGCTGTGTCACAGTGGACATGAGCCACAGTGGTTCTTGGTGCTTCCTAGAGCTGCCCTGCCCTCACCCCAGCCTCTGAGCACCCTCAGTAGCCTGCGATTTGCAGTCCTCCCCCACCCCACTGTGCGACCCTGGTTCCCTTGACCACCCCCTCCCCCATCAGCTCACTGGGCCCCCAGGGAGGGCCCCCCCACTCCTATACCTGGCCCAGTCCCCCTGCCCTGCAGCAGCGGCTGGACATTGTCAACCAAATGGCCCCTCTGTGTGTGCCGCCGGGCCGTTGTTTCCTGTTGCGGGCGGTGCCTCCAGGCTCCTCTGGCTGAGCCCCTGCGCTCAGGCCGGTGTCGGGCTCCGTCCTGCGTCACGTTCTGTGTGACTCTGCTCAGGGGCTGCCTGGTGTTGCTCTCGCTCAGTGTGGACATGTCACAGAGTAACACAGTCCCATCAGATGTTATGGCTTCCTCCTTACAGAAGCAGATCACCAGGCCTTTCCCCCTCAGCCACCTGGCAGTGCATGCCGCCTGGACCTTGGTCACGTGCTTTCCTGCTTCCTCCTTGCGCCGCTGCTCTTTCTGCATCCTCTGACTGTTCCCCGTGTGTGCACGCGCACGCACACGCACCCTCACTTCACTCTGCGCCTGGTGTCCAGTGGCTGCTGCTCGCTGTGCTCTGCTCTCCCCTCGTTCCCGTCATGGGTAGCACGTGTACAGTGCAGTTCAGCAGCTCCCGGGCCCAGGCCCGGCCCGTCAGCAGACCTTGGCCTTGGTGTCCGTGGACTTGTGCAGGCTATCATTCCGGTTGGGCGGCGGTGCTGGGAGCTGTGGGGGGCTTGGTGAGCCCAGATTCTCTTGCTCTCACGTCGGTGTCCAGGAGCAGCAGGAAAGGCCACCAACACCAGCACCAGCTTGCAAACACATCAGCCTTGTCTTCTTTCTTCAGTGTCCACCTTTTTCACGCATGCAAGGAGATTGAAAATACCATGGCTTGGGTCAGGTGCACACTCTAAAGAGGCTAGACCAGTGGTTCTCAACCTGTGGCTTGTGACCTTTGGGGGTCGAACGACCCTTTCACAGGGGTTGCTTGATTCCTAACAGTAGCAAAATGACAGTGAAGTAGCAATGAAAATAATTTTATGGTTGGGGGGTCACCACAAGATGAGCAATTGTATTAGTCACGGTATTAGGAAGGTGGAGAACCACTGGGCTCGATGTTGAGTAAGGAAGACTGCAGAGACACCCATGTGTCTGAACGGTGGTGTTGGTGAAGAAGATAGGTTGCATAAAGAACAAACAAGTCTTACTTGGAACAAGTACAACCAGGATGCTTCACAGAGGCAAGGATGGGGGGACTTCATTTCACAGCGTACTTTGGGCATCCTTGCCAAGTGGTGGGGGCTGGGGAAGTGAGGCAGCAACAAAGAGGAAGCCCCTTGACAAGGTGGACTGACACAGTGGCTGCAAGAAGGGCTTCACACATAACAATTGTGAAGATGGTGCAGGACCACATGGTGTTTTGCGATTTGGGGCTTAGGGTTGCTGAGTAGGAACCCACTCAAAGGCACCTAACCAGAACACCAGGGTAGGCCTCCTACAGCCTACCTTCAAATTGCTGACCACACGTTTGCAGCCCAACGTGTAACCACTATACCAGGGCTCCAAGAAAAAGTGAACACACACACACACACATCCTCTGTCAAACTCATCCATCCGTGTTGGTCACTTCTCCCATCTGGTCAGCCTTCGGGTCTGTCCAGCCTCTGCTTGTCTTTCCCCAATGTTGCAGAGTTGTGCCTGGAACAGCTCTTGTCTGTTACCTTTCACTGTGCACATGGCCTCCTCCAGCTCCGCCTCTCTGCATGGCCTGTCAGCTGAGGAGGAGGGGCTCTGCTGCCACTGATGCTCTGCTCACGGTGAGGTCGGTGATTCAAATCCACCAGCTGCTACTAGCCATCTGTTCCTGTAGACTGGCAGCCCCGAAACCCTCTCGGCTCACTAGGAGTGAGAGCTGACAAGATGGCAGTGAGTGGTCGAGTCAGCTGAGGGTGAGTTTTACCCTGTAATGGCTAAGAACAATCAAGGAAGGGGGCTATCTTGGGATCAATCTGGAGCGTCACGTGGAGTTCCAACTTGGTGTCCACTGGCAGGGTTTGTTGGAATGCACCACGTCCCTGGTGTACATAGATGTAGTCCTCACATGTGGCCTCAGAGGCCTGATTGTGACACACACACTGCCCTGCCCTGCTCCTCCCCCCACTCCCAGGTCACGACAACTTTGCCCCTGCGCGGTGTGTGTGTGTGTGTGACACTTTCGTCAGAAACGTCCTCGTGTCACCACCCCGCTAGAGCTCTGCCGTAGGATCTAGCATCCAGGGCCACCACAGCTGGAGCGCACTTGGCAGTGCCACTGTTACCAAGGCTGCAGCTGAAGGGAACAGGCTGCTGGATCTTGGGGGGATGGGGGTGTCCCATCCTCCTGGCCTTGCCTGTGGGCATCTTCCATCAAGCCTGGAAGGCTCAGAGCCTCTCCTGCCCACCTTCCACCTCTGGAACTCCAGGTGGACATGTGATAGGCATTCTTGTCTGGACCGAATCACAGATGTCCTGTGCTGAGCTGTGTCTGGCATCATCCTCAGGTGCTGTGCTTCTCATGTCTAAGGGCTGCAACACGCTTCTCCCTCCAGCTGTATCTGGTTTCAGGACTTCCTACCTCGTCGGGTGTCTCAGTCCCGCCACGTGTCTCAGTCCCGCCACTTGCTCGCTGCTCGTGTCTGAGCACCACTGTCCCATTGGTCTCAGTGGGGCCCCTTGGCGTTGCCTTTTGCTTTATGAGCCTGACTCTTCCCCCAAACCTGGCTTGCACATCCAGTCCCGGAACCATCCTCTTGCCTTCCTCCCATTCTGCCCACCACCCGGGCAGCTGTGTGCAGACTCCCAGGGTCAGAGCAGGGCCAGCTCATGGAGCTCAGAGGTTGGCAGCCCCAAGGTGACTACCCCTGTCTGCCACAGTCACACCTGCACCCTGTGGCGAGCCCTGGCTGTGGAGCCGAGCCTCACGGCCCAGGTGCTGGAGCTACTGCTGGAGAAGATGAGGAAGGATGTCCCTTTCAAAGAGAGCCGAGCCTTCCTGCTTAGCAGTGCCCCTGACCGTGTGGCCACAGTGCTGCCCCTTGCCGTGAGTGCCCCAGGCCCTCCGGGTGCACCCCTGTGCCACCTGACGGCTGCGTTGGGGTGGGAGGGGTGCGCCAGCTGAGCCTGCAGGCCAGAGTTAAGCTTGTAAAAGCCTCTAAGGCGGCTTTCCCCAGGGAGAAGGTTCTGCATTTTATCCTGTGAAAACATCGACCCAGCTTGCTCCACTCTGGCCACTTTTTAAGCAGTAAAGCAGCTGTGAAAATCCCTCTCCCCCCAGCCCCAAAGCATGGAGAACAGATGGTCTGGAGCCCAGTTCCCACCTCCTGGGCCATTCCCCCCACTCCCTTGGGATCACAACCTCCAGACGCCTGAGGGCCACAGGCCGGGGGAGGGGGTCCCTAAGGTGCTGCAGGCTAATCGATGCTGCTGGGTAACGCTGGGGTGGCACTTCTAATGGGTCCACTCTTCCCAGGCCACATGTGCCCTCTACGAGGTCCTGTCCGTGCCCGCCTCGGGGGCTGCAGTGCTGGAGCTCTACCCTGAGCTCTTTGTTACCCTCCTGCTGAGGGTCAGCTGCTCTGTGGGTGTCCAGTTGCCCCGCAGCCTCCAGGCCAAGGAGAGGAGGAGATCTGGGGCCCCCCCTGCCACCCGGAGTCTGGAGCCCTGCAGGTAAGCAGGGATGCGTGCATATGAGCTGCACAGGTGGTGCACTGTGGGCACATCTGTGAGGTGTGCACATGGGTGTGCAGCGCTGTAGCAGGCACACACCCTTCCCATGTCAGAGACTGAGCTTGGCCCTCCTCTCTGGCTGCCCACTTGCTTCCTGCAGCAGCAGTTTGAGGGATCTGGGGTGCACTGAGGTGCTGGGTCTTCTGCACAGGGCCTCTCAGTCCTCACGTCAGTGTTGGCTTTGTATACTCAGAGCACAGCTCTGGCAGAACCTCAGCAGAGGCCCTGCCCCACTCTGTGCCCCGACTTTGTTGAAGTGGGCAAAGCTTGGGCTCCTGTTTGGGCCCTGTGGCCTCTGCAGTGGCAGGGCCGGCACCCTGGGGGTGCAGTGCTGCTAGCTGGGTGCAGCTGACCCTGCCCGCCAGGCTTGACCTTCACGGTGTTCTCCTCCACCTCTGCTGGCCCTGCCTGGCATGCGAGAAGCAGCCCCCTTTGGGGCCAGAACTTTCCCCTGCTGCTCATCACCAGCCAGCCCTTGAGGCCTCTTGTCACCCAGGACAGTTTCAAGCCTAGATCTCAGCCAAAGGTGACTGAGCAGGTGGGTGGGCCCTGCAGACACTTTGACCCTGCAAGCCCGTAGTTCCCCCAGGTGCTCCTCACACACACCCCCTGCCAGGAACCACATGGGCTTCTGCTTGGTTCTCATGGGGTCCCTAGGCTGGGACCCAGCTTTCTGGCTGGAATAAGTGTTCCTCAGGAGGGTGGGATCTGGGGCACTAGCAGCTGATCTTTAATGAGGAACATGCTGGCAGTGAGGATGCTGGGCTTTGGGCAGTGACTGGCATGTGCTGCTGCCCAGGGCCAGGCCCTGCCCCCCAGAGCCATAGGGTATGAATCACAAGGTCCCAAAGCAAGCTTGTCCTGTACCTCTCCCCCTTAACAGCACATGAGGTCTGACCCCCATGTATCCTCACACACACTCTGCCTTTCCGTCCACACCTGGGCACACACACACCCGCTCGCCCACCACATGTGTGCAGTTCTCCCAGCAGTAGGGACGGCCCTGTGGGCTGCCCCCACCCCAACCTTAGGCGGCAGTGCAGTGCTGGACTCTGAGAGCAGATCCCAGACAGCCCCGAGAGGCTGCAGCACCAGGCTCATTTCCTGTGCAGGACGACAGCCCCTCCTGCAGGGCAGATGCCATGGGAGTCCAAGCAGCCCTGACCCCAGGCATGGCCCTGCTAGGTAGACCAGCCTCATGGGATAGGGACACTGAAGTGGCCCTAGAGAACTGACCATGTCAGACAGGCAAATGGGGCAAGATGAAGGCCTTGGCCAGCAGCCCAGCACCATAGGATGGGGGCAGATCTCCCCCCCCACCTCCACATGGCTTCCTCCTTTAGACCCTGGCTCAGCCCAGGGGAGCCTGGGGTACCCTTCCTCAGGAATCTGCCAGAGTCATTTCTCCATCATTCTTGTGTTCAATAAAAGTCCTGACGGCAAGCCAAGAAGCTGCTGACCAGGAAGTCATGCCCTCCCCCAGGGAGCATTGCCACTACCCGTGGGCAGCCTGCCCCAGAGCAACCCTGTAAGTCCCCCACTCCCCAGGAGTCCCCAAAGAGGGCTGCCAAGGGTCCCCAGCTGGCTTCCTGCATTCACCCTGGGGGGTGGGGGTGGGGTGTGTGTGTGTGTGTGAGACTCTCCCGGGGTGAAAATGAGCTGTGTTCTGCAGTTCTGCGGTGGACACGCTGCAGACCATGCTGCTGAGGGGTGGCAGCGAGGATGTGGTACGGCACCTGGAGCTGGAGGGTGGCTGGGAACTGCTGAGGAGCTCTGAGGGCCACGAGGAAGGTGTCACCCGGCTGGCCAGGTGAGCAGGGCGCTTGAAAGAAAGTACAGGCCCACACAACCCTCCCAGCAGAGGGGCCCAGAGAGGACTGTCCTGATGGAATGGGGAACCCAAACCCTGCAGACTCCCCAGCCAGGGTAGTGGGGGGGCTGTACCTCAAGGGGTGGACAGACAGCAGCACAGCCCTCTACCTTCCTGGCCCACTCCAGGGCCATGGCGGAGCACGCAGGCCCCCGGCTGCCGCTGGTAATGAAGGCCCTGGTTGCCACGCAGAGCAGCACATACAGGATCCAGAGGATCACCTCCACGGCCTTTCTGGCAGAGGTTAGGCCCATGCAGTCTTGAGGGCAGCTGGGCAGGGCTGTAGTCACCCTCTCCCACCGAGGAGGGGTGGGCAGTCCCCCAAGGACTCAGGTGGCTCCTCACCATAGCCATGGGCCCTGGTGAACGTGGATCTTGCCGCATGTGCCCTGGAATGGGGGGCTTGGGATAGGTCCTTGTGGACCCAGGTGTGCAGCTCTGAATGGAGCAGCTATGAGGTGTCTAGGTGCTTGGGCCAGCTGGGACCTCTTTGCTGGCTAGCCACATCCACTCCACTGTGGAGGTGACAGCCCTTCCCCAGCCCGGGTGGGGGCAGGGCACTGCACAGGCTGTGGGCAGGCGGCTGAAAACTTCTCTGCACAGCTACTCAGCAGTCACGTGGCGAATGACTTGCTGCTGCTGGAGTCCCTGCTGGACCACCTGGCAGCCCGCCAGGCAGACTCGTGCCCCAGCGTGCGGCGGCTGGTGCTCCGGGGTCTCGCCAACCTGGCCTCCGGCTCCCCTGACAAGGTGGGCCTGCGCACTCGGCCCGGGCAGTAGCCAAGCTTGGGGTGGGAGCCAGGGACCCGCCCAACGCACAGAGACCCAGGAGCCTGCCCTTGTGGTGACTCAGGTTCGGGCCCATGGCCCCCAGCTGCTGACAACACTCATTGGTGGGCTGGACGATGCCGATGACCTGCACAGCCTGGTGGCCCTGGAAGCCATGGTGGGCCTGGCCAGGCTGCTAGAACTGCTGGAGCCTCGAGACCTGCGCTCTGCGCTGCTGCATGTCGCCATCCGCATCCGGCCCTTCTTTGACAGCGTAGGGGGAGGGCTGAGGCCCCCCACTGCAGTGCCCCTGTTCCCAGCTGCCAGCTACTCCCATTGGCCCTGGCTGAGGGGTTCCCCCACTTCTCGGGCAGGCATGGTCCCCACACAGGGAGGGGGGTGGGCCAGCGGTCGGGGCATGGGGTGACTCCTGGCTGCCCCCAGGAGAAGACGGAGTTCCGGCGGGCATCCATCTGCCTCTTTGGGCACCTGAACAAGGCCTGTCAAGGGGATTGTGAGGACGTGTTCCAGGAACAGAGCGTCAGCGCACTGGTTCCCCTGATGCTGCACCTTCGAGACCCCCAGGCTCCTGTGGTCGGCGTGCGTGGGGGCCCGGGGCTGGGGCTGGGGCAAGAAGGGGTGGGGAAGGCGCAGGCAGGGTTCTCAGTGCCTTGCCCCACAGGCCTGCAGGTTTGCGCTACGCATGTGTGGCCCCAACCTAGAGTGTGAGGAGCTGACGGCCACCTTCCACAAGCACCTGCAAGAGGGCCGTGGCCTGCACTTCGGCGAGTTCCTCAACACCACCTGCAAGCACCTGGTGAGGTGGCGTTGAGGAGGGCAGATTGGGGGGTGCCGCCAGCGGCCTGACTCGAGGCTTCTGTCCCAGATGCACCACTTCCCTGACCTGCTGGGCCGCCTGGTGAGCACCAACCTCTTCTACTTCAAGAGTAGCTGGGAGGATGTGCGGGCCGCAGCCCCCATGTTCACGGGTAAGTAAGCAGGAGCAGGCGCAGGCCTGGCCCTACTCCCACCCCCGGTGCAGCCCCACCCCCACCCCTGACCGGTGCCCTCCCCCAGGCTTCCTGGTGCTGCACGCAGACCCTGAGCAGCGACACCAGGTGGACCTGGAGCTGCTGGTGCCTGGTGAGTGATCTGCCCCTCCCCCCACAGTGCCAGATGGCACGCTGCCCTTCCCCTCTGGGCCCAGAGGGTCACCCTTGCCCTAAGGCCTCCTGGGCCCTGCTAGCCCTGTGGGCACCAGGGGGAACTAAGTGATTTTCCTGGATTTCAAGGATTTTTCCCTGTCACTGGTGACCTCATCGTCTCTGGTAATTCACGGAAACTTCTGAAGCGTTCCAAGAGGGCTTAAAAACACTAAAAAAGGAAAAACGCTTTTTCCGCTGCTCTTGAGCCTCCCGGTAGAGCCTGTGTACAGGGTGGCGGCCCCACGTGCAGGCGCCAGTGCGCTGTGGCCGTGGGGGTGGGGGCTCTTTCAGACGTTGGTGCCCTCTCCCCACCCAGCTCTGCAGCTGCTGCTGAAGGACCCCGCACCTGAGGTGCGCATGAAAGCTGCAGAGACGATGGGCCGCCTTGTGAAGTTTGCGTGAGGCCCTGGGGCTCCCGCCAGCTGGTGAACTGGGACACAAATGCCCCTGCCAGATGGGGTGGGGGGCAGCTGTCTGTGTCCCTTATAGTTTTCAATAAAGCCATGTGCCCCTCCCCCGAGCAGTGCTGCAGGGGATGGGGTAGGCAGACCCAGGTCCTCTTTTCTGGCACACCTAGGGGGCCAGCAGGATGGGGAGGTGGGCAGAGTGAAGGGTCCACACGCAGGTGAAGGGTACAGAGAGCTGTATTGAGGGTCCCAGGAGGGGGCCGCTCGGGGCTAGGTGAAGAGGCGGAGTGTGCCGTCAGCGCCCGCGGAGATCAGCCAGGGCTGGGTGGGGTGGAAGGCCACGTCAAGCACACCCAGACCACGGGTCAGCACGTGGCCTTTAAGCACCTTCACCGGCACCAGCAGTGGGTTCTGTAGTAGATCACTGGGGGAGTGGGGAGGGGGTATCAGCAGGAGGAGCAGGCCCCGGCCACTGTATGGCACCCCACCCCATATCCACCTGAAGCCAGGAGTGTACCCTGGCTCCATGACTCACTAACCCACCACTCACCTGAGTGGGGAGGGGGTGTCAGCAGAGGGGGGGCCAGGCTACAGCACATGGGGCAGGGGAGGGGCACTCACTTGTACACCATGCCGTGGCAGACGATGACACTGCCATCATCAGAGCCTGATGCGAAGAGAGGGTACCGGGGGTGGAAGGCCACAGACCGTAGGGCCTTCTTGTGGTGCCTGCATGCAAGGGGCAGGAGCCATGGTGGTTAGGAGGGCCCAGAAGGACAATGAGGCTGCCCCTGTCCCACGAGTGGCCCCTCTCACCTTAGCACTTTGTAGGGTTTGGTCGAGAGGTCCAGGTCAAACCAGACCAGCTTGCTGTCGTAGCTCCCACAGATGACGTTGTCCCCTATGGGTGGAGTGGGGGGATGGGTCCCAACATCTCCCTACCCCAGCCCCATGCCCCATGCCCAGTGCCCTCACCTCCTGGGTGCACAGCGAGGCTGGACACCCACTTGCAATTTGGCATCAGCTTCTTGGTGAGTTCCTGGCGCAGCAGGTGGTAGAGGCGGACGCTGCGCTGGGAGGCCACGAGCAGGAAGGGCCTTGCTGGGTGGAAGGCCACGCACTGCACCTGCCCGTGGCTGCGGCGGAAGGGGCTCTGGCTGCGGCGCCGGCTTACCTGGTGGATCAGCACCTGTGTGTGCCCTGGTGTGGCCAGCACCACGGCCAGGTAGTCCCCACGACCATGCCAGGCCACCTGCGTCACTGGCTGCCGGGCAGAAAAGTGGAGTGGCTGATCAGCACCATGGCTCCCCCAGCCCCCACCCAAGGGCCTTGTATGCAGTCCCCTCGGTCCCACAGCCCCCACAGCACCTTGCTGTGGCAGATGCGCAGCCGCAAGCCTCCCTGGCGCTCCTCTGTCGTGGCCTCCAGCCAATGGGTCGGCTGCACGGCCTGTTCCTCAGGAGGGCTGTAGGCAGCCAGCAGCTGGTCAGTGCTGCTTACCACCAGCCGGTCCCCCAGGGCTGGATTCAGCAGCACCACGGCATCCTCCCTGTGGGTCACACACAATGCTCAGTTTGGCTCAGTTTGCTGCCCCACTCCCTGCCTCCCCTCGGGCTGGCCAGCAACTCCCCCCTCCAGCCCCCACTCACACAGCCACAGCCACCAGGCAGATGGCAGGGTTAGGATTCCAGGCGACACTCCTGACCACAGCCCCCAAGGGCACAGTCCTCATGCAGCGTGCGGTGGCCACCTCCCAGAGCCGCACCGACCCGTCATCTGAGCCTGGACCCCAGCGAGAGGCCCGCAGTGAGCAACCCCCCTCTCTCCTCCATGGTTGTTCCTTACTGACCACCCCTCGTCCAACTGGATCCCAATAAGGTCTGCAGTGTACACCCTGCATGCCCCTGCCCATCCCCACCCATGAATCTCACTGGCCCGCCACCCACCTGAAGCCAGCCACTGGCCCCCAGGGGAGACACTGAGGCACCGAACCAGTTCACTGTGGCCCTTATAGATCTGCAGAAGGAACAGGTGTCTGAGCACCCTCGCTGAGGTCCTTGCATGCCCCCAGCCCCCACTTCAAGCCCGCCTGCCCACTCTCACCAGTGCTTGGCAGGTGGGGAAGGGCTGCAGATCACGTGGCTGAGGCAGTTTGGGTATGAGGTCTTCGGGGTCCACGTTCACCTGGGCAGAAAGGGCAGGCAATCACCCCACCACACCCATGCCCCTCTGTCCTGCCCCCACCCTGCCCCCATGCAGCCACACACCCGCATCTTGCGCTGCCGGGGACACAAGTAGAGGTCGAGGCAGCGCTCGAAGCGCTCCTGGATGAAGCGGCCGTAGGCTGGCACAGCCCGCAGACTCTGGAACTTGTGGGGCAGGAAGGGGAGCTTCCTCTCACTGGGATCCTGCTGCTCCCAGGCCAGGTGCTGGGGACACAGGAGGTGAGCAGGCCTACCTAGGCACCGCCCCCACCCCCACCCCGGCTGCCCGCCCCCACGCCCACCTCCTCCTCGCTGAGCAGGTACTCGGGAGGGGGGTTATAGGACTCCGCGTGGCCAGGCAAGGCCAGCTTGGGGGCAGGCACGTGCATCTTGTGGCGTCCCAGGATGGCACTGGGGTCCTCCTGGGCCCAGAGGTCGTAGTAGCTGGGGGCTGTGTCTCGGGGTCGGCGTGGCTGGATCCAACCCATCTTGATGGCATGTACCATGCGGGAGACCTAGGCATAGACCTGCGCTCAGCACGGGCCAACACTGGGCGCAGTACAAGGATGCAGTGGTGCCATGCCTGGGACCCCCACTGGGGGGTACACTCAGAGATCGCAGCATGGGCACCCCTATGGGGGCTACAGGCACCTTCTCTTTCTCCACGAGCGAGGGGATGAAGCTGCGTTTGTCAGCAGGGCGGTTGGTCACAGGGTGGATCATGATGTCCCCGCTGAAGAAGTCCACGGCTGGCTGTAGGGAGATACCAGAATGTCTGGGTGGGCCAGGGCCCTGCTAGACACCCCCGGCCCAGGGCTCAGCACAGTCACATACCTCATAAGGCTCGAAGCCCACATCACCAAACTGGCCCCTCTGCAGTCGTCGCACCAAGGCCACCTGCTCATCCGTCAGCCGCACATCCTGCCCCGTGGACCGATGCTGCACTGTCCGCCTGGGGCAATCACGTACCGTCAGACCTTGCCCCAAGCACCGCCCCCCACCCGCACCCCCACCCTTGCCCTACCAGAGCCTAGCTCAGCCCACCAGTAGTCGGGGTCGTCCATCTTGTCCAGAAACTGGTCCAGCTCATCACGGGTGCGCAAGGGTTTGTAGATGCGGTGGCCATCCAAGTCATAGCCCACGTGGGGGAAGTCCGCGTACCACTCGAGCGGCACATTGCCCACTGTATTCCGGATGTCCTGCAGGGGGCAGCCGGCCCCATGTATGCCCTCCTGCTGCCCAGGCCTGACGTGGCGCAGCCCCCCTGCCCCGCCAGCACTGGGGCTGCACCTTCACATTTTCCACTGAAGTGGTGCCAGCCCCGCGCGTCCTCCGCCGCCGCCAGAGCTCTTGGCCAGGGCTCTGGGCAGCTACAGACAAGGTGACCTCATCGCCGTGGGCTCCCTCCCCTGGTGGGGCCCTGTGGCAGTGAGATGGCAGCCACAGGGCAGGGATACCAGGCTGCATCCCACCACCCCTGCCCTGACCCCAAGACACCCCCCTCCGCCCTGCCCCCACACTGCCCCTGGCTGGCTGAGCAGCTACATTCCTAGACACACATTCCTGGTTGGAGCCCCTGCCAGCCACCACCACCTCAACCCGCCCAGCTCGGGGACTGCTGCCCAGGCAGCCGCTTCCTGCAACAGTAGCCACATGGGGGAGGGGTCCAGTGGAGCCAGAGCATGGCTGAGAGCACAAGGGTCCCTCACCCGACAGGACAGAACCTGGGGGTGGGGGTTGTCCTACACTTAACTTCCCCTGCCCCCGCTGTCCTCTCCACTCAAGCCTATAAGCCCCTCTGAAAATGGGGAGACTATTTCCCTGCCCAACAAGGAGGTGCCTTCTGGCTGGTAGGGAGGGCCCCAGACAGTGCTTGCTTGTGCCAGACTTGGGGGCCTGGTGCCAGGGGAGGGATAGGTTCGAGGTGAAACTTCCTGTACCCTTTGTGCCCCCAAGCCCTCACCTCCACAGCCTAACAGAAGATCCCGTGCATGTGGGGGGTGGGGGTAGGGAGAGGGGAGCTGGGTTCCAGTGCGGGTGAACAGCTCAGACACCACACCACCGAGCTTCAGGACCCAGCAGCACGCTGAAGGGGCCCCCATTTCCTCTGCATCCCCGCGAGAGGGATGCTCCAAAGAATTGCCCCTTCAGTGAGGCCCAGGAGGCGGGAGGGGGGACTAGACTGCAGGAGGATCCTGGGGGCGGGGCGAGCGCGGAGGGGCGGGGCCCGGCGGCGCCCGCC